TTCCTTAAACTAGTGGAGGGCATGCAAGAGAGGGTGGGAGAGTGGCAAACTGGCTGTTTCTCTCAAATCCTTTGGAGGAGATCACCATGCTGCTCACCAAAAAGAGAGGGTGCAGACAGCCCAAGTGGCAGTCACCCTGCTCATGTGTATTGCTCTTGGAGTAATCTGTGATCACTAGAAGGAACACTGAATGGGGCGCAAGAGCACCTGGGGGAAAAGACTGCAGAAGGGGCAAGGAGTCAGGAGGAGACTGTGAAGGAGAGAAGGCATGCAGAGGTCAGTGGGCTGGGATCCTACATGTTGATCGGCTCCTTGTGCAGCTTCCTCCCAACATCCCTTTCTTGCACTATTGGGTTTGTCCTGCTGGTGGTACTGATCTTTTCTCTCAATTGTGAAGCAACAAGGGTAGCCAATGCACTTGGAAGGCACATGCATTCAGAACTGGACCCTATGGCATGGTTGAGGAACCTTGAAAGGGAAGAAGTTTGGTGTAGGGTTGAAGATGTACATATCAGCAGGCACACAAGCACATGTGAGTTTGAATTGCTAGGAACTTGTAACTATACACATTCTCTCAAGAAAAGAAGGGAAGCAATAGAGGAGGGATGAAGGGAAAGGGCGGAGAAGAGGATGGTGTTCATAGAATGGGAGGCTCTGATCCCAACAAAAATTTTACCCATTGTGGATTCTTGCACTGGGGAGATAGATCATTTCTGCATGAAAGATACCAGTGATTTCCACAGTGGAAACTACCAGGGATGTGATATAGAAAGCTCAATATCAACCTCCATGAGTAGTCAAGCATTCCATCATGTGCCCGGTCACGTACCAAATTGCACAGCTGAGATGTCAGTTACCCACATCAAGTTACATAAATCTTAGGCAAATGCCAATAGGATTCCAGCCACTTTACTTTTTATGAAAGTAATACATTACTCACAAATAATGTTATTTCTTAGAGGGATGTTGCTAACGTTTTCTTTTTCAAAAATCTGTGGGGGAAAAGCATATAATGGTCCAGAATCTCCAAAGTAATAAAAGAAATAAGTATTAAAATAGTGAGTAAATATTACTCATTGTCTCTCCCAAAAGCAATTGTGTTAGCAGTTGTTACATTATCTTCCAGAGCAATCCTGTTGCCCCTCTTTGTTCTCCCCAAAAATAAATGGTTTAGAAGTATAATGTTAACAGGATACATGGTAGATTGACTTTCTAGGTTAAATTTTGTAAGCTAATGGATGAAATCCAGTAGTAAGTCACAATTTGAGTGGGACCATTGAATCTTGAGATTTGGTGAGAACTCCTCTCTGAATTCGACAGACTCAGTGGGCCCACTCTAGTTGCAAGTTAGCACTGCATCTGAGCCAATAAATGCAAGATATGGAAGATTTTATCTAGACAGGTGTTGTGATCCCAAATGGATCAGAATTACTAGCATGTTGACGTTTCTAAGTTAATATTGAACTAATTAATATGTAGATTAAACAATGAGGAAGAAGCAATGAGAAAAAGTATGCGACTGCTTGAAATCTTCGTAGCAGTAGTAACCAAGTCTCCAGGGCATTGGCTGTGACATTTGCCATGATGCCAGCTAGATGTTTAAAGGGACAGCTGTAGAATAGGTGGAAATCATTTTGTTATGCATTGCAGAGGGAAAGGACTAGTTAGGCTAGAAAGTACAGATTTTGATTCAATGCACGTTTGGCGAGAGGTTTCATTTAAAGTTATATTGCCTCCAAACATAGCAACATATTCATGCTTGTGCTGCAAACATCTACTTTCTCTTTTGTGCCGGTCTTCAAAAGCCGAGGCGTACTAAGCTGGTGGGCATTTTTCTTGCCATGCCCAATACAAAGGAAGCCTGAAAAGATTCTATCAGGACTACATCCCAGTGATCTGTGGTCTAGAGCACTCCAGCGCCGTGGTTTAGCAAGCAGTGTCGTGTTTGGTTTGACACGGTTAGCTTCATTCTTCTAGTTTTTTATGGCTGGTAGAAGAAGAATAAGAGCTACTCATGGTGGACTGAGTTGGTTTCATAAATGCAATACATGCTTAAGAAACAATAAACATTTTGTGTACTAAACATCTTGAACTAGCTTTGTATTCGAAGAATCAACCCTTGTGGAAGTAAATGAAAAGGACTGTGGATTTCATGAATGGGACTATGAACCCATCTGCTGTCTTGAGTACAGTATATTAATCCCATGTTATATAGAGCAAAGGATACTACTCTGGTGATGGGGGCACTGCCTAGATATATAGCAGAATGATGCCTAAGACAAGGCCAGGGGAGGCTCTGAGACAGGGCTTAAACTGCAGCTATAGCTCATATATGACTTGCAATCTAAATTTGGACTGTTTACTTCAGACCCAGTAGGTGAAACTGCCACCACTGGGCTTTTCAGACTTCCCTGCTGCTCATGTTCTGACTCCCTTTCCCTTCAGTTCGGATGGATGGATGATTGGTATTTCTGTGCTATCTTTTCACAACAAAAAGCCCTCCCAAAGTGGCTCACTCACAAAATAAATAAATGCAGATAATTAAAATCAACTGATTTAATGTTATAAAACTAAAACAGCCATCTAAAACACTTTATAATCCAGCATGCAAAATTTGCTAAAATAGTTAAAACAATTTCAGATCAATACAGCTGCTGCAGCTGTGTAAACATTTCAAATCTTTTAATTAAAAGCAGAATTATTTGCTACATGGCTGACTTGACATTGCAGCATACTACCCAACATTGGCTGTCTCTCGATGCCATGCGAATTTTCCCCTTGGTTCTTTTTCTTCACCTCTTCGTCTTTTCACCATTTGTCTTTGCCTTCCCAACAGTCTTCTCTTAAAATCTTGTTTGGCTGCTTGTTGCAAAACTGTCCCTGTTTTCCAACCACTATACTCTAGGGCTGTGTTCCCACTTAGCTTCCCATCCCTCAGCCTCCCTGTCTGACCTACAACACTCTTTCCCCCTTTCTGTCAACAGCATGCATGAATGGACCCATTCCTTCCTTCCTTCCTTCCTTCCTTCCTTCCTTCCTTCCTTCCTTCCTTAGTATGCCACTTGCCCATCCGATTTGTGGCTAAAGTGTCTTATAATGGCAAAAATTTAACAATTTAAAATATATCATAAACAGTGGTAAATATATTAAAAATTCTCATAGTGCATAATTAGCACTATCAACAAATGTCAGTATATCATACATATATCTATTTACAAGTTTTCTCAGGCTGACTAATACACATTTCTCAAAGTAGATACACTGTGAATCAGATTCATGTCACTGAAAGGAAGCAAGGAACTCCTGAATAGTTAGGAATGTTCATGGATGTTCCATGAGATCACATCATCTCAAATCAGTGGGCAGCCCCCTTCTTAATTTTCCGCCTGTTACAGACCTATCTCTGCTTAAAGAACATTTTCTCCAACTGAACATTTGAAAGATTCTTACACAATTCCTGGTGGGGAAAAGGATCTGTACCTTAGTATTGAATTTGGAAAGTTATTTTTTATTTCATTCCCACTCCCATGTTATACATTCTTCTTTCTTGTCCCTTAATTCTTTCCCCCACTGCTCCCTGCTTTTCCCCAGGCCTTAACATGCCAGCCTATTATATAAGCCTGCAGTCAGTTGTGTTGCTGCAATCGTCCTTAAGACTGACATCCTCAAATCATGGAATTGGATCCTTTGAGTCCACTGCTGAAAGATAAGGGGTTTGCTGGTTGGGTATGCACACAGCAACCTCTTTAAAAAGTGACTGAGCATTTGACGGGCTTTTTGGAGCTCACAGCATCACCACTGGAGCCCTCATCCAACCCATTCTATAGGCAAACTCAGCTTCAGTGAAGCAGGTGGCGCCTGCCCTGTCCCAGAAGGCCCGGGCTAATACCAACTCCAGTTGCTTTGGCAGCCGACAGCTCCTGGGAGTCCCCCATCCAACCTCCCTTGCCTGTTGCATCAGCCTTTCAAGGGAGAGCAGGTGGCAGGAGCTAACGAAGTGGGAAATGGGGCAGAGGTGGTGGGGGCACTGCTTCTTTATTCTCCTTCTGGACCTGAGTGAGAGTGAGAGTCTCCAGATTCAGTAGTGGGCTATAACAAGAGTGACTCCTTGACCAGCCCCTTGTGATCTGATTTCTTTTAGCTAGAGGGAAATGGCCTTGATCATGTTACAGGGCAGGTAGGAGCCCCCATCCCTCCCCACTCAGCAGTCTGTTTGCTGTCAGAAAGTGATGAGTTTGCCCAGCATTTTCTGACAGGATGCGGCCATCTTGGGCTAGATGCACCCATTATCTGTTGACAAGGGAGGGAATGGAAGAACCACATTTCACTCCTATAAGACAGCATCTTGGGCTTAAAGAGCAGTAAAATCTTAATCATATATATATGAGTTTTGCATGTCTTCTTGCGTGCTTGTATAAAAACATGCTTAATGTTGTTTTAGAGCAAACAAAGAGATACAGCTCATGATCACATGGGAGTCTGCATACATAAATCTGTGGATTTCTGAATAAGTGTTAAACATACGATCTATGCATTTAGTTTGAATTTGTCAAGCTTTCTTTGCAGGTGTATAAATGGAGTCAGACATATCCCTTATTCAAAAGGTTGCCCCTCATAATACAGTGGCAAAAACAATCAAATGTTGTTGGCAGTCTTTTTCATGGAAGAGAAAGTCCAAGAGAACAGGGATGTCTGATGCCCACCAAATCTTTTGCAGACCAGTCTGGGAATGGGGTTGGTGAAATGCTTCCTATCCTTATGACAGAAGCAGGTGTCGATTATTATCCCATGCCTGTCTGTGCCAGCTCATCCCCGTACAGAATCTTCAGGCCTGAAATTATCATTTGTATCCCAGACAAAATAGTGGTGCAGCAGTTTTTCACATTCGGGGATTCAAATGTCATTTGGGGTGGCAGTCAGTGCCATCTAGCGGCTGCCCTTAGAACTATATCCACCATGTCTTCTGGTTTTTATTTGTTTTGTTTTGTTTTGTTTTTCAGGTGCAATAACCGGACGCAATGTGTTGTGGTGGCTGGTTCGGATGCTTTCCCAGACCCTTGCCCCGGCACCTACAAATACCTGGAGGTCCAGTATGACTGTGTCCCCTACAGTGAGTCCATTTCTCATTGTACTCTGATGCCTCATCTGATTTCTGTAAGATCCTCTTCTGACCCAGGGAGGAGAGACTCCACAGGCTGGCCCCCAAATTCCCATCCAAACAGGACTGGATGTACTTAGATGAAATGCTAGCTAGAGGCAAAACGAAAGAACGAGCCCAGGCATTTATGTCTGTGGTGTCAAAGAGAGGAGCAACTTGCCTTGAACAAAGTTGCCACCCCCCACCCCCACCCCCAGATTTTGCAAAGAGAATTAAATCTAGATAACTGGGCAAAAAGATTCCTAGTTTCCACCTGCAACTCTATCAGTAACACACCATGTTTGAGTGGCAGTTGCTTAATGTCTCTCTCTGGTCTTTCCATCGACAAACGGTGTACCTGGGGTGCCATGTGTACGTGGCTAGATAATAAGCTCCGGTTCTAATTTGGGGACACAATATTTTGGGGCAGCCTACCCTTTTTGGCCATTTTTGGGGATGGAGGTGTGAATTCTGGCTCTATTAGCTTGGTGTTCGTTGTTCTCAGACCCTTTAAGAGAAGTGCCTCAGTAGGCTGGAATTAGACCACCTGTGGCTCTCTTCCATTTAAAAAAACTAGGGTGGTTTTCCCTCAGCTCCAGCCTTTCTCCATTCTGCCTGTACCAGGAGCAGGGGCAGACTGAGAGATCCTCCTGAACTCAGGTTGGATTGAGAGCAAAAACTCAAGAGGCTCTTAGAAGAGAGAACCAAGAGGTGCATGTAAGCCCACACATGATGGTGTGCGCAAGGTGCCGGTGTTTGAAAGAGGTGCTTTTGGTGCATACTATATGTTTGTTAACAGCTGTGTGTATTTATTTATGAAGTATGTGTGGTACTGTGGCACTTGACTCATCCTCAGGGCACTCGATACACTACATTGGTGTCCATGTGGGCAATACATCCAGTACATGTAGTCCTGTATGTTTGTGCTTTACGTGCTCTGAGTATATTTTGTTCATGGTTTGTTTATATGCCCATATGGAGGAGACAATGTTATTTGTATGCACATTCAAGGGTATGGCCCTATCTATGTTTGTGTACAGGGCAGGCACACAAACTGACTGTGTGTACATATGCATGTTTCCTTGTCTTTGGAGTGGTTCTGTGTGCATCAGGGATGTAGTATTCATCTGGGAGGGCAAAAGAGAGAGCCTGCTCTTTGTCTAGCCGCAGCAGCAGAAGGCAGCAGTGCTGCCCGGCATTTCCCAGCAGAGGGCCAGATTGAGTATGACTATGGGGTATGGCTTCTCCAGAAACATGGCTGCCATTGCTCCCTAGGACTAGCGCAGTGCCTCACGCTTGCGCTCTGAATGCTTGTAGGCAGATGGATGACTGTTTGTGTGCATCTAAATCTATTTATGATTATTGCTATGAATGCTCACATATGGTGTGTGAATTCATGAGCACCATTATACTGATGGCTCTATATGTGTGGATATGCATGTTTATGGAATGTGGACATGTGTGGGCATGCATGTACGTGCACTATAGCTCTCTTGTGGTTTTAAGAACAAGCCTATCTGCATCCAGACCAGAAACACAGCTTAACAGCAACGTTGCTCCTAGGACAAAGGAGAAGGCAGTCATTTTTCTCAAAGGAAACAAGATGCAAAATTTAAAATACTGAGAGAGAAAGAGATAAGCGTACAGTTTGAATCTCTGATTTGTTAGATGATCACCAGGTGCCATGAAACATAGGGAGCAGTAGGAAGCATTTTTAACTTGTGAGTGTCCCTTCTCTTATGGAATCATTCTGCTTCATTTATACTGATGGCACAAGTCTAGTATGTTTTGCCCTACAGTTGTCACTCTTTCCTAACTTGCCTATGCGGAAAAGCCATGCTTGGGTTGTCAGGTGTCTTATTTAAAATGAGATTCTTTACTGGTGTTGGTGTGGAATCACTCCATGCTCCACAACAGCCACACAGATCACAATTGAAATCATTTGCACCTTGTGCATCAATTCTGTCCCACTCTTATTGTTGTTGTGTTGATTTCCTAAGCTTCAGCAGCATGAATCTAATGAACCAAAGCCAGCATGCCAGGCTTAGGGCATCCTTCCTCCCTGGGTCAGTCACTCATACACCCCTCCTCCTTTCCTACTCATGTTGCTTGGGGGGGGGAGTGTTACGGAGAGCTGTGGTCCCTTTGTTTTGGTGTCTTATACACTCTCCGCTGGGACTAAGGGTCCATGTGGGAGGGTCAGTCTAACGGGATGAGTCCCCTCCCCTTCCCCGCTAATGTCCCTTTGGTTTCTCCTCACAGATGAAGTGGAGTCGAGCAGAGCAGGTGTGACCTCCTAACCTTTTGACATTCCTTCCTGCCCCTTTTCCTTCCAGCTACCAAGTGGCTTCGAAACAAACCAATCAACTCTCATCTCAGGGTGTAAGCCAGTCATGATCCCTTACAGTTAACAGCACTGGGGATCCACCAAATCAGCAAAAGGACCTTAAATCACAATGTTGTGAAGGGGGGAGGAGGAAGAGATGGGGATTGGGAGCAAGAGTGAGGCAAATGTGTAGGGACTGCAGCAGAGCATGGCGGAGCTGTTGATGCAAGGGTGCCCATCAGAACTGGTGACTTTAGTGTGCATAATACCACTGCAACCCCTTTTAGATATTCTAGCACATTTTATGCAAAGTTCAGTTTAGTTAATTATTACACATAGGCATATTTGCAACTTATGCTTATGAACACATATATGCATACAATTTCCCAGAGTAATATGCAGACTTCATGTAATTTTATGTTTGGAGACTTGAATATATTTCTATATATATATACCCATTTCCCCATATTTGCAAATTGTCACACAAATATCTGTTTCACACATATATGGACAATGCTCATCATATAGATCAGCTAGTACAGTTTATGCTTTCTTACATATACTATACTAGTGTACCCAGTTATATATGTTCATATATGCAGTTATACATATAAACTCTCTTGTCCAGTTGATTTATGTGCTTTACAAAGCTATAGCCATACAAAGCTATACCCAAATGTCCAAATCAAGTCAGGGTATCTTTCTTTACAGTCCATTTACTTTCATCTTTTCCTCTGGAGTTAGTTGACATAAGGATGATTTTCTGACAGTGATAGGAGACAGAAGGCTGCTCAGCATTTCATTCAAACTAGTTGAGGCTATTTCTTCTTCTCCACTTATTTTTATGCCTGATACATTTCCTTGGTTTTAGCCATACTTCAAGACATGCCATTTTGTTTCTCTCACGTTGGTAAATATTTAGTACAATCAGGACTGCTGGGTTTCCATTTTATGGTTGAAAATGTAATGGAGCCAGAAACAGTGAGAGGGAGAACCAGTTCCCAAACTGGAGGCAGTTGAACTGAGTATAAATTTTAGGGTAATTCTCTCTCAAATTTCTGTAATCATGAGCCTAATTCAAATTGGAGATGAGCAAATGCTGGGAAATACACTAGCAAAATATTACCTACCCTGGAAAACCTGTTTCAGCGGTGAAAGCAAGAGTAGCAGTTGTGACACACCTTGTGGGGCTACTTTCAAGAAAAAAGCATCTTGGCATGCTTAGATATGTTGTCTCTTTTGTTTTGTGCTGGAGAACCTGAAAAAAAAATCAAACTCCATTTCCAGAGCAGTAATAGTTTCCCCATTGTGATGCTTCCACGATGCTTCAACCGCTCTGTCCCGCTGGCCGCCCTCTCTTCGTCTCTGTGCAGGGAATGCCTTGATCCAGTGCTGTTTGCTGTCGTGGGTCAAGGCTGGGGCAAATGAAGGGAGGGGAAAGTACAGGAAGTTGAAGAACCTGGGGAAGAGGGTTGAATAACAGAGGGATGGCAGAGGGGCAGTGGGGAGAGGGGTGCCTGTGCTGTCAGACCCTTTTGCTTCCTTCCTTTGCAGCTGCCTCCATTCTAACCAGACACTGATCTTCCTTCCTCAGGGGCCAATCTGACATGTGGAAAAACAAAACTATTTATTTAATTATGTGTCTGATTTTTGGTTTTGAAGGGTTTTTTTAATGTGAATTGTTATTATTGTGTCAATATTGTTCAAAACAACCTTCCCCATCCCCACCCCTCCTGACCTTCTGCCAGCTCCTGTCCCCAGCTTTTCTTTCTCTTCTCTCACTCCCAAATTTTCTGCTGTTTGCTTTCTCTGCTTTTTGAGTAGGTCAGGGCTGCTTGGTTCCCCTCTTTGGAGGAGAGATTTTAAAAAATGATAGGTTGTGGTGTGGCAGGTAAGGGATTGGTTGCAGTGTCACCATTGACAGAAGGGGAAAAAATGCTTGTACCATTATTTAGCATCTGAGTTCTATCCAAAAAATTAGTGGCCTTTTGTTGTTGTTGTTGTTGTTTTGCCAGATAGCATTTCTGAAAATTGCAGAGAGTTGCAGAGAAATTGGCATGTAATGAATCTGGAATTTGCTGTTTTAATGGGAACTCCAGGATCTAAAGTGAAAACTTTCAACCAAGCCTTAGTCAATCCCTAAGCCTAATGTTGCAGACTAAGAGGCCGGCTGCATGAGAATTTGTCTAGCACTGTATCTCCCTGCTGGGATAGTTTGGACCACTCTAAAAAATGTTGACTATACAGTACAATGTACTTGTGAGAGCGATCCAGCCCATCCATACTGGGGGTGGCGGGGAGTCCATTCCAGATTTGTCTTAGAGAAAGCCTACTGTTTAATTGGGAGTGATGAGGATTACTTCAAATAAAGTTGTTTTTCAAGCCTGTGCAATCACCTGTGTGATCAAATGTGGGGTGGAGCATGTGGTCTTCCTAGACTTAGTGGGGATAGGTAGAGCTGGGTGTGGTCTGGCTGGGACTCACGATTGAGAGTCAAGAACCCGTCCAAAACTTGATTAATTGTCTGAAGGATAGAAATGCAGAGAAACACTGGGCACAGCTAGTGAGCGAATGGCTAGTCAGTACTGCTGCCATAAAATGTGTTGCGATGAGAGTAATCCAGAAGTAAAAACAAGATAGAAAGGTG